GGGAGTTAAATATATTGTATTATTTTGGGTTTATTAGATTATATGAAATATGTACTCTTTTTCCTTCACTAGGATTTTTTCCCACTGGGTTTTTCTCTAGTAAGGTTTTAACGAGGCATATTTCATATATACAGTGGGCATCTAAGTGGGAGTATTATGAATTTTTTCCCACTTGCTTAGTGTCCAATTTTGAGGTGTCTCAAAATCCATGCTCCATATGTCCTCTATGTGTCTTTTATTCAAAACCTCATATGTTCCGTTATCCATGCACCATGTGTTGAAACCCTAAATGTCTCATGTATCTCAATTTTATACATTATTAGTGTTATGTAAATCACACCACATGCTTATCCATGACCTATAAATAAGGTCAATGTGGTGCTCATTTAGTAGTTAGAATTTGTGAGAAATTAGTGGTGAGAATTTGTGAGAAATTAGTGAGAAATTTGGTGGGAAATCAAGTTTGAAAATTGGTGGGAAATGCTATTTTGAATTTTGAATTTTCTTTGTTTTTGAATTGTTTTGTTTATTTTATTTCCCCGATGTTGCCTCGTTTCGTTCCTCAATTTTACAACAAGATTCAGTATTTGAATTTTTAATCATTAATGAATATGTTTTCCTTAAATTTAAAATTAGATAATTATAAAATTGTGAACTAAAATCTCATAATAAATTTGATAGGAGGATCGTAAGTGAGGGTAATTTGGCCACAAAAAATTCTTCTGGAAATCTAAAAGTGTCAATAATTCTAAATAGAAATTTATGAAAGGTTGTGAAAATTTACTCCACGAACAACTTCTGTATTTTTAAAAGTTCCGTTGAGTTGCTATGATTTAGATGTTGTTTTAATTTAGTTTCATTTTTAAGAGTTTCAATTTGATCTAAATGACTTAATTAAGTTAAGTCTACATCCGTACCGTATATATTGACACTTTTTTCACATGTCAATGAGCTAAATTTTTCCCTCTACGGTCACCGTTGTGATGCTACCAGAAATCCATAATTTTATTTTATTCTTTCAATTTCTTGATCACTATGTATGGGAAGGATTGGCATAAAGAAAACTTAAAATATTATTACTTATTCCAAATTGACATAGTCTAGTGAATAAAATACGTATACCATCTCAAAAGTCATGGTTCACTCTCTACCTTCCCAATTCCCAATTGTTGAACTATATCTATATTTTATGGAATAATTGGCCACTAGAGGTTACTACTTACAAATAGCAGATAAATGGTTAGGCTGCAAAAAAATGAAACGAGATGGAAATAACTAGTTTCTGTTTTTCTAATGAAAAATATGAAAATGAATCCACAACTGTCTCAGAATCAAGTTGAAGTAATTGAGAGTTATCTTGAAGCTTATTCACCACAATCATCAATTTTGTTATGGAATTGGTTGTTAATTAAAATCATAAGTAAAATTAAACAATTCTTTGAGCTAACTTGGTTTCCTAGAGTTATGTCTATCAATTGGAAATATAGTTTCAAAATTTATTCAAGTTTAAAGTTATTTGCTCAAATCAAATATATACTATTAAAATCGATTCAAGTGAAATACAAGCACAAAAAAAAATTAAAAAGAAAAATCATTTCTTTCACTTTCATAAAAGAAGTTGAGGTCTTCATTTCACTTTAATCTCTCTGCACATTTATGAGTCTTCTCCTTCATTTTTCAAAATTTTAATAGTTTTTATAATATCTTGAAAGGTTAAAAGTCAAGTCCAATATGAAATTCAAATAAATGGGAAAAACATAAACAAAATGGTAACATAGAGCTAAAGATTCCCATTGAATTGGTTTCACTTTTCCAACAAGAAGGGATGTCTTTCCGGCAACTCCCTCAAGAGAAACTTCTTTAATTTTTTCCATCTATAGATAAATAAATAAATAAGTTAATACTTAATACTATAAATATGAGCAAAACTATAAAGAAATAAAAATAAAAATAACCCAAGAGAATATTCCTTCTTTCGACAAGCAAATATATATATATTTTTTTAAGATAACAAATTGAAGGTATGAGAGTTTGAACCTCCGATCTCAAGGGATGGGGTAGATGTCAATTATCGTTTAGTTGTGCTATTTTGACATTGAAGATTGTGCTAACACAGCAAAAAATGTACTTACGCATTAATGGAGGTGAAAGTAACAAACATTCAAATGTCATCAAAGGGAAAAAAAAAACATTTGTATTGATGTTATCTGCCCTAATTGCTGTGGAGGAGTTTGCCACATGTTCAGTATGCACACTCTCTCATATTACACTTTTGTGAGAGGAATAATACATAGGCACTTATCAGTCAACATCTATCTACGCTTTTGTTTTACTCCATTAAAAAAATTTAGAAAAATAAGTGAGAAATACAAGAAACCAAAATTTTTTCTGCTTTTTTAAAAACCTAAAAAACTCTAAAAATAAGTTTCATAAAGATGGAGCATGCAGTGGCCTAAAATGGTGTATGACACAAGTCAAAACAGCTATAAAATACACGATTGGGCTAAACCAAAATATACATATATAATAGATAAGAAAAGAAGAACTAATTGTAATTCTAACTTTCTCCATGAACAAGAAATTCCACATCACAGAAAGGCCTATCAAAGGTGAACAAGAACTGGGCTGGGCCCAGATATGAATCGTGGGCTTCTAAGCCCAAGTTCCCCCCAGACTTACTGGGGACGCAAAAGAAAGCAACTTGACATTGAAATTGGGACATGTGAGCCCCAAATGAGATTCTAACTCTAGCAGGGATCTCGTGCACATATTGAATTTGCCTTTTAAATAGAGAAAAAAAGATGAGAAGAAAAGCATGAAAGTGGAAATGAAGATTCAAGTATAAGGAATGGAAGGTATTGATTTCAGGAATTGCATGCGTTTGGCCCCCTCACCAATAATGGATCACCCAATTAAAAATAAAAATAAAAATAAAATAAAATAAAATCAATTATAATCCATCCATTACAGTATAATGAACTTTTGCTGATCCCACAAGTTAAGCAACCCAAAAAATAAGTTCCCTTCCTAAGATTCTGTAAATGTATGTTTTTTTAGTCGCATGTGAGGTAATAATTAGTGGCTTTAACTTCACTTTGGTTGATACAAAAGCTTGTGCTTCAACAAATGAGGATTTGAATTAATGGGTTTGATTAACGTGTAATCAAAACAAAATATATTAGATTGGGATTAGATAGGCCATAATTGGAAAATTTTAGAACCTTCCCAAGGATGAATTGGAAACTTAGCTTCTCCACCAAGATAACAGTTCCACCAAGCATGTCATTCTGCTGACCTTTGGAAGGGTAGTGGTGTAAATTCACCTGGGAGAGAATGCCATTCTTATGATTGTGTTCCCTCTTTTTACGACCTCTAGTTGTTTTCGTCACCACCAAAATTCAAGTCCAAGCAACAACCACTTCTAAAGACACTATAAATGTATTCCAAAAGCACCACAAAAGAACTATAATCACAACTTACCACTGCTTCTGCTTCAAGCCACTCGATAAACATGACTCAAATGCTTACTTTCCTGTTCTGTCTCTCTTCCTCGACGTTTCTTTCCGTTGCCCGAGCAGAAGGCAGAGCTCCTCATGGCTTGGTATACGAGAGCCCGCTCGCGTTCTCTCCAATGGCATATGATTTCTTTCATCCAAGTGCCCAGAATTCCAATGCCAAAGACCCATGTGCTGCATCCAAATGCTCCCCTCTTCCCCTTGCAGCCCAAGTGCAATCTACTCCTGCACAGCAAAGCAAATACTCCACAGCAGTCCAGAAAGGGGAGCACGGACTCGGGGCTGGTGGGGTTCTGGGGATTGTGTTAGGCATCATGTTTGCTGTGTTTTTGGCAATGGGGGTGTACTATGTGTTACGCACCCGCCAAGCCAACGCAAACCGAGCTATGTCCACACAACCTGGTGCATGACATGCTCGCTACTCAATGCCAACATGTTTATGAGATTAGACAAACACTTGGGGCACTTCTCATCCTCTCTTTAGTTTCTCATCTCTTTCTTCTTTATTTCTCCATGTTTGATGGAGGCTATGGCTACAAATGTTTTATAAGTAGGAGGCTGTTCTAGAGTATCCCTAAACTTTTCTTCTTCATCCCCTCTACCCCCATATGTAGAATTCAGTTTATAAAATCTTTTCTCCTTCAAAGTTTCTATCTCTGATTCTGCTAATGAAGTATACATAAACACATCCCAAAAAACAAACAAACAAACAAACTCACAAAGAAGAGGAAAAAAAAAAAAAACTCCAGAAAACCAAGGCCAAACAAAATTTAAAATGTTCGAAAATGAGGTGGAAAGTTTCCAACAAAAGGTTATAGGAACAAACCATAAGTTCCAGTTTGAGAACACATACCATGCAAACGATTCATGGTTATATCATAGAACAAACGTCTACAAATATAAATAATAAAAATCCTGCAAATATTGCCAGATCAGTGCTAACTGGATCATAATGACAAATGAAACAGGTTACCATTAGTGTTGCACAAATAATGTTTGATCTCGCATAGAAGATCAGGATCTATTCAGATTTCAAAGAGGCTCAAAGATGGATTGTAAATATTTTAGAAGTCAATTAAATGCATGAAAGATATAAAGAGTAACTAAAAATGTGAAGTACAACATTTATAATCTTATTACTTTCATGTTTCAAACATTGAGATGTCCAACACAGATGAAAAATTGAAAATGCAGAAATGTTCAATAGGAATGATTAAGGAGCTTGGAATGTCATCTAGTAGCAATTATAATTATAGTACAATAGAGACAAACGGTTACTCTCTACAATTCTAACATGCATGAATCTTGCCTGTACCAAGGATCCGACCATCTGGTGCCCAACATTGTTCCACTCTCGCAGCATCTTATGAATGATATTAAGAAATAATAAAGGTTCTCTCGTCTGAAATAATTTTAAGAAGGGTGCTCTAGTTGTGAAAGAGACTTAATTGGCAGTCTGTACTAATCTTATCCATTATTTGCCATTAGTAAGTTATGAGTTGGACGTATTTAGTCACCGAATAAAAGGAAATAAGTGGGTGAAATTTGTAAAAATTTAGAGTTTTGAGACCTGTCTTGAAGCAACACTGATATCTTCTCTTTCTTTACATATATAAATTGGTTACATACATATCAATTTGACTATTGATAACTCTTGGTTTCAAGGATTAAAAGTAGATTTTAATTGTGTATTTGAGGGAATATTTAGTTCATTTTGTTCATAACATGTACACATTAGAGCATATATTGTTAATATTCAAGCAGAACACTAAATTCACTTATGCATAATTATTATTTAGAGCACTTTTGGAAGTTAAACTAAGCAAAACTTCAACTTTTTGGTTGTAGCAAACAAAGTTAGTGCTCGGCGCAGATGAATGCTGATTTCTGAAGATTAATGCTTAGACCCAAAGCTTGTTCATAAAACTTAAAGAATTTCCAGCAATATTTCGAAGGGGTATTATCAGCATATTGAATATGAGGTTATATGAACTTTGTTCTTCCCAACTAAAAAACCTTCAATAATGCTCTTTCTTCTACAAACCTCAATGAAAAACGACCGAAGGAGCTACTACAAGAGTAAAGAAGAAGGGGAAAGCGAATCCCTTGCCTTAACTCCCGAAGCTAAAAGTTTGCCTCTCAAGTCTGAATCTGCTATTTATCAAGAGAGAATAGTGAGTAGAACTAAGGCAGCCCATAATTCAGTGCCCCCACCAAATACCAAACCTTCCTTGAGCCCTAATTCCATCCAAAAAGCTCCAATCAATATCATAACCCTTTTCAAAGTCTATCTTCAAATGAAAGCCTTTCAACTTCTTGCTAACGTACTCATTAAAGGATATATGTTGTATTATTAGCGTGGATAGCCTACATACATACACAATGTATGACATGATCTTAGATTGCCTAATCAATCAGTTAGACTATTAACCAAACTGCATTTAATTACGTCGAAACAATTGACTTTTTATTGGCTAGTAAAAATAGTACAAGCTAACTCCAAAAATCCCAACCTTAAATGATAAGAAAACCCCAGCCAATTGGATCTAGAAACCCTTATTGTTATGCAAACCCCTAGATCACAAATGCTAAAACCCCCAAATCAAGATGATTTCAACCCAAGGAAGAAGTTAATGAATTGATCAATATCAAGGGTAGAGAAAACTTATTTCCAAACTCAAGATTCGAATCACTCCACAAGTTAGCTTGATCAAGGCTACTTGAATGATTCTAGCATGCAATTCTAAAACACAAGAAATGCAAAGGAAAAGCTCATGGCTCACAAAACTCAAATTTTATTGATCTCATAACTCAAATATCAAATCTGTCTTTTACAATGGAATAAGCTAGGCTATATATAGCCTCCAAAACAATGCCTAAAAGTAACCAAAAGACAATGTAAATGTTGTAACTCCCTAGTACATCAATACCATAACCACGACTAACTAAAAAATAACTTAAAAGTGACAAATGAAAGGTTTAAAACTGAAAATACAATTAAATGTGCTTTAAATCCGAAAATGAAACTCCTTCATCATAAATCCAAGAGTTTGTAACCCTCTAAGAGTAAATGAAGTTGAGTTTGAACTAGTTTGAAGGACTTTAAAGTCTTGTTCATTTAATGCATCTTGAGTTCAACTTTGACTCCCATTAATGCAACTTGAGTTGGCCATAAATGAAACTAGAGTGCATATAATGCAACTCCAATTTGTTGTCAACTTGGACGTAGGATTCTCCAACATCTTCCTTTAAATCCTTGAGGACTAAGACACTTTGGTTCATATCACCTACTATGCAACAATATTGGAGGACTTGGCCAAAGATGCAGAGAGTGTCCCCAAATTCAGTGTGCATCAGGGAGCATTCAAGTACAAGAACCGTATGGTGCTGTCAAAGACTTCCACCCTCATCCCAGCACTCCTTCAGTACCACAATTCAGTCATGGTAGGACATTCGGGGTTCTTATGCACGTACAAGTGCATGACAAGGAAATTATACAAGCAAGGAATGACACTCCGAAAGCTTGAGGCAATTGGCTCCCGTGGGCTGAATATTGGTACAATACCACGTAACATGGTTCTACGGGCACCACTCCATTCCGGGTAGTTTATTGCAGACACCCCCCTCCCTTGTGCTCTATGGGAGTCACAAAACCCCCAATGCCACCTTGGATCAACAGCTTGCAAACAGGGATGAGGCATTGGAAGCCATAAGAGATCACTTGAACTTAGCGCAATACAGGATGAAGAAATATGTTGATGCACACCGAACTGAGCAAGAATTTGAAGTGGGGGATAAGGTCTTCATGAAAACCAGGCCCTATAGACAAAAAATTGTTGGCAAAGAGGAGGAATGAGAAGCTCGCTCCTAAGTATTTCAGCCCTTACACAGTGGACCAGCGAATTGGCAAGGTGGCCTATAAGCTCCCGACTGACGCGATGATCCACCCCGTGTTCCATATCTCACAACTTAGGGTAAAGGAGAAGTACAAGAAGTGCAACACATTACCCCTCAGTTAACTAAGGAGTTGGAGTGGATAGCAGAACCAGATGACATCTATGCAGTGCGCACGAATGAGGGGACTGGAGAATTGGAAGTCCTACTCAATTGGAAGGGGTTACCCGAAGAAGAAGCTACTTGGGAGTCTGCTTGTGATATGACCCGACAGTTTTTAGAATTCCACCTTGAGGACAAGGTGTTGCTGAAAGATGGGGGCCCCTAATTGTGAAACATATTCTAGAAAGGGTAAGATAGGAAATGCATAGGGAGAGTAGGCTTAACGTCAAGCGAGAGAAAATGTCTGCCAATTTTATAGGAGGGGTAGTATAGTGGATATTTAGAAATCCCTGAGGAGAGTAGAGGAGTGAATTTGTTTTTCTGTTGTGCCTTAGGCAGGAAGGATAGGAAGGAGAGTCGCCCACCCTCTCGAGTTGGTGGGGTAACTTGTATCACCTATGGGCCATTTCGCTAATCCAAATACAAGTTGTTGAGGGTGATACCTCACATTGTGTTTCATCATAGCAACAAAATATAACCATAGGCTATTTAATCATCTCCGTCATATAGTTATTATTATACAATAGTAATTAGCCAACAATTCATGAGCATGATATCTAAAAACGCAAAGTATAAATGAGTGCATTATCATGTGTGCTCATTTGAGGAGCTATTAGCAAGTATTTTACTACTTATCTACCCACAATATTATGTTGTGCAAGTGAATAGTGATGATGAATAATTTGGTTAAGAGTCAAGACAACTACAATGTTTGATGCTAATATAAATTGGATTTTACTTTTAGATGTTCCAGTTTATTTAGCATGATAGCCCGTGAACACTACATTTTGCTCTTAATAACAATTAGTTAGTCCATAGTCAAAGTTTTTTGATCAAATCTATGTTATGTGTGGCAATACTCTCGAGTTGTTTAATTTGGTTCTTATCGGCTAAGTTATGTTATGTGGACCTCCCTTTTTGTATGTTCCTCACATACCTCTAAATGGTACTCTTTTTTCCTATAAAAAAAAATGGTACTCTTTTTTATAAAAAAAAAAAAATTTAATTAATTAATTAGAATTTAATTTTAAAAAAAAAAAGTTCTCTTATCTGTTCAAAAGATTTTGAGTAAGCTAAATTTAGAAGATTTAAGTTTTCAACTAGTTAGTCCAAGAATAGGCCTGAAAATTTTGATTCGTCATAATATGTACTCCAGTGTGTAATTTATTACAGATCAAGCTTCCACTCCAATAAAAAGAAGTTTCGACAAATGAATACATCCCAAATTGACAGATCTTGATGACAAACAAAACAGATTATAGCAAGCATAAAAAAAATACTATATCATCTCACATAGCAATCTAGTATAGCTTTCATATTGGATGGGCATTCTTCACTCTTCGAGCATCATATA